ACGAGCCGCGTCACTGTCATGGTGGCTAACGTCTCGGCCAGCGTATTGTGGCCTTCATAGCGCACTGCTGTGAAGAACACGCTCTGAAGCAGTACGCTCTGAAGAAGGCCACAATACGCTGACCGAAACGTTAGTCACCATGTCAGAGACGCAGTACGCTCTGAAGAAGGCCACAATACGCTGGCCGAAACGTTAGCCACCATGACAGTGACGCGGCTCTTCCCGGATAGCCTAGATAACACCAAGTCCGGCCATGGAAGCCTACGCAACCATTTAAACCATTCATTTTGAGTGTTCTGAACGTTAACCACCATATTCAGTAATTAGATATATCCCTATTTTACCCGAAATATAAACGGTTTACAGAGGGGGCTCTATCATAAGGTCACATGGCTACGTGCCCCCCCCACCAAGAAATTAAAATTTTATTTTATTATATTGCTATATGAACTATTGCAACTTGATGAATATGAGCGCGCTATTTTTATTTTTGCTCTGAGGAAATGAACGAGATCCTGTAAAGGCAACTCTATGATACCTGGCTACGGCTTTGGTCACGAGAAGCCCGCGCCCACTGCCTCGCCGTTTGTGGGGGGCTGTCTTCGTTGAACGGCGGGATTTGGTGAGGAGGGAGGGTAGTGCAAGCAAATGGCACGCACAGGTTACAAATTCAGCAAGTCAGTGTGACTGCGCCGCCAGTTCTGCCGTAGTCAAGCGTGGCAGTGTAGTGCCCATTCGGTACGGCCCCAAGAAAAGTGTTAGAATACTTTTTTTTTTCCAAGTTCTTCTACGTTATAGTAATTTAGTTGGATTTTTTTGGTGTGTGTGTGTGAAGAGTAATTGTGAATGTCAAGTCAAACAACATGAAGTAAGGTATTTACAAAATAGTAAGGTATTTTCAATAATTAAGTACGTCAGGTATGTTGATTGATTGCATGTCGCTTCGATTTATTTTCATGTCCTGTGCCTGGGGCTGATCCAGCCGATCTTTTTTTTTAGTGTGGGGGGGGGGGCATCACCATAATAAATATGTTTATATAGTATATTGTTTTTGTTACGTATATATAGTGCTATACAATATTATTGATTAAATAATCGCATAATTATTAAATAAAGGAAGGTAAGAAACGAAAACTCGAGGCTTTTTAGGGGAAGGCCCCCCTGGATCTGCCACTGTCCCGTGCCCTCCTTAGTCAGACTCAATGGAGCCGCCACTGGATGCAAACTCCAGTCTTTTGGGACACCAGCCGTCATTGACTTATTAAACATATTAAACAGTGTCATATTAAACAGTGCAATTAGCATTACTCGTTGGAGAAGTTTGAAGAAACAATTTGGAGCCATTTCTGAGTAAATATGGCGTTTGAAAGTTTCTGAAATTCCGGAATTTTGAGCTCATTTTCCCAGACAACGGTTCAATTTTTGAGAAACTTTATATGACCTAATTTAAAGTACATGTTCTCATAAATACAATAATGTAAACATCTCGCCGCTAGTATAAATATTACCGACGTGAAAGACGAGTCAAAAAAATAAGTTTGTACTTTTTGATAAATTAATCATTATCACAACGAGAAATTTAAAGAAAAAATTGGAGTCATGTTTGAGAAAATCTTATTGTTATTTTTAATATCGAACCTAGCAATGGTGCGCGAAACGTACTAATTAAAAAAAAATGTACATGACCATCTTGAAAGAACAAACTATGAAGAACAATGAACCCCAGACAGATCTTGTCGAAATGAGGCTTCGGTCAAATTGTCTGAATATTTAGTATGTTGTTTCTTAGATCATACTTGTCAAAAGTTGTAATTGCCATTAAGCAAAAATGGTTCTTCTTTTCGATCTAATGTACATTTTAAAATGGAATTCATGTCGATTTGTCAGATGATAGAAAGGCACATATGTGTACTCAGAGCATATTCAAACGGAATATTATTACAGAAAAATACAGTCTAAGTTACAGTCGTAGGTATCAAATTCCTTGTATATCTTTATTATATGTAATGCTCTCACAATGCTGAATTTTTGAAAAGAAATGCAGATAGATTAATTTATTTAACTATAATATTAAGAACAGCAGGTTTACATTTTTCAAGACTGATAGAATCTATTTCATCTACTAATCGGCATGAGTAACAATTTTTTAGGTAATTAATCAATTGGTTAATTTCAGGAACATTAGTGTAATGAAGAAACACAATTTGTAGTTCTAGAAAAAAAAGTGGGTTGACAGTGTTACTGTGCCCTGTATCATGAGTGGAGTTGGGAAAGTGATTATTAGAAGGCATACAGAAAGATTTTTAGGATCCAACCTTCATATAGGAGGAGAATGTTTCTGTGGGGTTAAGTTTTCCCATTTTTAATTACCTTCCATAATGTTTCAGAAAAATAATTTTATATCATTTGCTGATTTAATTAAAACATCTGGAATCACAGAAAAAAAAATTATTGTTCATTAAAATTTGGAGCATTCTCTTGGGTAGATCACTTCAAAATCTCCATTAACATAATTTTCTTTAATAATATTGGCCATGTAAAAAAACTTCATGTCTGTCATGTTTTTGTATCCTTCAAAGGTTACATCCAAAATATAGTTGCAGACTTTTTAGAGCAGTTGTGTCCAAATTTTTCAAATCAAGTGGCGAATCATCTTCCTTTCCTTTAAATTCATCAGACAATTTAATTCAATTCTGGTAACTGAACATAATTCGTAAACGTCAATCTTGGGCAGAATGAACCATAGGCTCACTGTTCCTCATTAACTAATGTTTCCCACTACCTCATGGGCTCTTTATTAATGAGATGAGCACTGATGGAGGGTTCAATTCCAGATGCAGTCATGGGGTTTTGTTATAGGAATTTTCAAAACCCATAACAATCGTAATTGAGAAGTAATGTTAAAGAACACCTAGGTGAGGTCTTCACTTAAAATTAATTTGAAATCAATTGTTTGGAACCCAGGCACTCACATTGTAACAGACGAAACTAAAAAGATACAAAATATTTTTTTTAAAATGCTTAGCATAAAAAATCCTATCTTATACTGAAACTTAACATTCAAAAGGTCTTATACAGTAAAAGGTATAATGGTACTAGGAATGTAACCTGGGTCTCTTTAGAGCAGGGGTGTCCAACTTGCAAGCCCTCAAGGACCACAATTAAAATCTTTAACATGGTTGCGGAACATATTTTCATTACTTGGGTGACCCGAAGGTTTCCCCTATTATTGATCTCAACAGTTTGCACAGGTGCTCTGAAAGGAGGAGCAGGAACCGCACGTGGCATCAGGCCGTTTCATGCCTAACAAAGTGAAACACATGCAATGATTTTTAATTTCTTAATTTACTTGAAGAAAAAAAAATCCTTAAATATAAACAACCTATTTTTACATTAAAGGTGTTGACCATGCAGGGGTGCATGCACTAGCAGCCCAACATGCAAACAAAGAACTTTCATGTTTGACAAAAATCTTTTGCGGGCCAATATAAATGGCACCGCTGTCTGCTAGTTGGACAGCCCTGCTTTAGAGGCATGAAAATCTGGTTTTAAGGGCCAGGAACACTTTATTAATGAGTTTTGTAAGATGGCAACTTCAGTTACAGCTTAGTGTGGAGTGGATTACCTGTGTCAGTGGGTTTCCTTGTATTATTTGCAAACTTTTAATTTTTTTAAAGTTTTAAATCTGTTTGATCAGGTCTTGGGGTAATTTCCTATCCAACAGTAGCACATTTTCTGTTGTTTTTTTTACTGTACAATTCTGTCATTTTTAATGGCTGCAATTCATTACACAATGATACTCCTTATGACCAATTCTTGACCATTCAGAGAGAAGTTTACAAACAAAGTATTAACACTTAATTAATCACTGAGAATTGTTCGATTTCGTACATTAAAACTGTTTAATATTATTTTATACTTGTCAGTTTTAATTCATTTTATTTTTAGTCTTTTTTTTTATGTGGAATACTATTTAAAATAAAATGGATTATAATTTCACTTTGATCCTAATTGGCTAGCACAGTGGTAAACTAAAGCCATCTGGGCAGAGTAGGGTAGGGAGCCGCTCGCAGGGTGGCCTTGGCTGAATCCTGCACGTCAACTGCCACGAAACAATTCAATGTAAAACTTTAAATTAAAAAAGTTACCATAAGTCGTAGAATATTTTTTTTTATAAAAGGGTATACCCCTAAATCAATTATCGAGAAATAATCCAAAATACTTTTCCCTGAAAGCAGTAGGGTTCTCTGAAAATGTGTACATATATACCCAAAAATAAAGGGAAACAAATATAAGAAACTTACCAACTCCTATCAATTTTATTTTAAGATTATAGCATCATACATAAACAGCATTCATCAATTCACAGGTAGAAACATATTTCAGAAATACTATGTAACAACTGAAATCACACATGCTCTATCCATTCAGGAAAGACCATCAATTGGCAAGGGAAAAAATTCTTTTTTCCAGACAAAATAAATAAAATTAGAACTGGGCAATAAGTTACAAAGACAATAGAAAATGAAGCTTCTTATTCTTTGAAGTAAGATTATACAAACTGAGATTAGTTCTGGATAAATTTCTAATTTCAGTTAGAGAATTTCTTTAATCTAGAAGAGGTAATGTAGCTATCCAAACAGCTTCCATTTTTTTAAAGAAGCCAGCTAAAAAAAAGATACAATTAAATTTCAACCTAGCCTTTTTTAATGAATTCTTACTTCTAAGAATTGCCTTGGAGGCTATAACAGTTTGAGCGTAACTATCAGCAGTAGTGTAGTTTGACTGGCTGCAGTCTAATTCATATGGACTGCCCAGCAAAAATAGAATCCCTCCACAGTCCTGCATCCAGTTGATTTTTTTCTTCTTTTATTAGTAGCAAATGTTAAGTGAACTCATTTTTTACTTAGTATATTCTTCAAAATTCCACAAATAACAAGGATATCTAAGTCTTAAAAAATCTTTAGATGAAATAGCATCAATATTTTGTAATTCATTTTTGTGAAATATGTAAAAAGGTGTCTGTAACATGTCAAATATTCATTTGTTAAGCCAACCCTAAAAGAAAATTCACATTTCAAAACGAATGCTTTCAAGTTTAATTGTAGAAATTTATAATTAACAAGGGGGTTTAAAGGTTCCATAATTGTATTTTCCAGGGTCCAAAACTTCCAAATTCCCATAAAAGGATGATCAAGAGATAAACTGTAATACTTGTAGAATGAATGTAACTTCAAGAATGAATTTACTTACAATTGCTCATTTCCTAACCACAATTATAATTGAAAATCAAGTTAATTTTGCCCAATTCTAATTAGTCAATTATTAGCACCTCATGAAAAGCAAAAAGGCTTATCATAGGAGTGTAAATCACATAGCAAAATATGATAACACTTCTCTTGAAATCTATCAATATTAACAAGTTCCTTCACCTATGATATGTCCCACAAGAATCACATTAAGTACTATGATTGAATATTTCCACAGAGGACAACAATATCTTTGTTTTTGGAGTATTAAAGGGAGAAAGAAAGTGACAACACTTCACCCAGATTTAAATTTTCATCTTGAGTGTGTGTGCAAGGCAAATTGTACAATATTTAATATTGTTACACTGCCCTAACCAGTCTACTCTATGGGGGAAAAGAAATGTGTACATGCTACACTGGTATAAAACATTGGCATGTTTACACATCCATAATTGATAAATTGCAATGCACTTTCTCTCATTAATACTGATACATCCTTTTGAGCCCTTCCCTATTACCATAAATTTCCAATTCTGTGCCACTTAATTAATGAGTATTGCCATTTAAAACAAAACTTCTCTAGGCAGAGCATGTTTCATACACTTACATTACAAATAAAAAGTATTTTTAAGTTTCAAAGAATACATAAATTGAATAATCATTTAAACCAATCTCTTCAAATTCATAATAAAGATTTGTATTATTTATAAAATAAAGCATCAATTAGGAACAAAGACATCCATTACACAATAAAATTGAACCTTGATTAATTTTCACTGTGGTTGCCATGAAAACACCCAATCATAGACATCCTAGGTCTCCAACATCTATTTCAGTATTGGGATATCTATTCCACAAAGAGTTTCAAGGTACAAGTGACTTTTCTAATAATAAGTAAAATGTGACACTAACAAGCTACCAGAAACCTAACAGACAAGTTACATTTATTTTTGTTACAAGTAAATACTAAGAGTGATTTCATTAAAAGGAAAGACACAAGAACTCTTAGAAGTAAAACTAATAAGCGAAGCTTATGATGACCCTGAAATTAAAATATACAGTAACATTTCTAAAGTACAAGTGTGTGGAATGGCAGACCCTATTATTTTCAATGTTACCTGCTTTACAGCAAAAAATAAGTAGCATTCTTATTTAGAATTGGAATAGTCTGGCTGCCTGTCCGTAGCTAAAGCCACCAGACAGTTTAACCATGCAACATCCACAGCATTGGCTGGTTGCTTATGCTTCTCTATATTCTTTATCCAATGAGAGAATGAAGTGGATGTAAACAAAGAGGAATGTACCCCTCCACTGAGGCATGTGGTCTGGGGCTACTGAGCTGTCATCTTACCGACTGTTAATAATCTCGAATCCATTCACATGCTGCACAGAACCCTTCTATTGCAATACGTAGCAAGTGAAATGGATGACTGCTTGATAAATTGGGATTGACCTCTTAGCATTCATAAGAATAATAATACATTCACTCGGCACATTATAAAATTTGTCGATAAGAAGACACAAAAACTGGTTGTCTTGCATATTACAAGAATTTTATTATATGAAAACCAAAAATGATTTAACATGTCATTTAAAAGTTACTTACATAAAAAAAAAAAGTTCATTCACTCTGAATCTGGCAATGGCTCTACTGTTTATCAAAGGCAAGTTCTGTATTTTTCTTGTGTAATGAATTGAACACATTTAAAAGTTGTTTAGCCACATTCTGTCAGCTTTTCTCGTGAATGTTTTACAATTTCAGATGTTACAGTGTTTTGTTCAATGAGGGAAAGTGAACTTACGAGAAAAATGCACTACATAGAATACACCTGATCATCATGTCACGTCACGTACACGATCACATATTCAGAATTTTAAACAACAGAGCTTGACACTATAATGTGAGTTTCTTTATGCTCATTCATTCAACACAACTCGAATAGATTAACTATGATTATGTGTTATATGGTCAGACATTAGATTGAAACCACTTCTTTACATGGTATGAGTCTTCATTTACCTCTTTCATTTGAAGTAATACGTGGCGATGTTTGCATCCATTTCGTTCTCTCATTAGATAAAGAATAGTATTCTATGTTCTGTGGATTAAGCATGTACTTACTTGTCTCGTAGACAACCACAGAAGTTTTAGAGTCAAGAAACAAATGACCATTCAAGCAAACTTTTGCAAAAAAATTTTGCTTGACTCAACCTCTAATGCGAGGAAGAGACTATTGTTAATAAACTTTTATCTTTACTAGAACACAATTTGTTCAAAACAAATCACTAATCTCACAGATGAAGATGAACAGTCTGGTTTTGTGGATTAAAATCACATTCAATAACTTTGTGTATGAAGGATGGGTTGGTCCACCCTACTTTCAGTCCATATAGATTAGAAATGTTCTACCATTTTCTCTAGGTTTTACTATCATTGTTTGAAATAGTAAAAATTTAAAGTTGTTGCAGCAATTGGCAAAAATTCTAAGCCCTAAAAAAATTGGAAGATGCACAATAAATCTTCATTTATACATTTTGCACTCAAGTTTTTCCATGTTTATTCAGATGCTTTTAAGTCCCAACTGAATTCTTATATTTCCCATTTTAAATTATTTCAGATACGTGATGTACATTTACTTATTTTCTGCTTCAATATCAGTAATAAAGAATCAGACATAATAATTGGATAACGATATAAATGACCAATAAGTGAGAACAATGACATCTTTCTAGAAGAGCCCAAGAAATCACTGTTAGACTCAAGTGTTCAGATTGTTTAGTTTTTATGGTATGCAGGGCCTATCGTCTTTCCTTTACAATTATGCTGATGGGAACTGTGGAGACCATACACAAAATTACAGGATTTCAAGGGCAGGGGTGCTAAGGTTTCCTGGCATAACTTTGTGTAATGTTCACCAACATTGCAAAATAAAAATTAGGTGTATTCGTAGGAATTAAAATAATGTTGGAATGAAGTGTTATGAGCAATTATGGAGCAGTTGTTTGCAGCATTTTGAGAAGGAAATTTATGCCTTTTTTACTGAGAAAAGCAAAAGATCTAAGGTTACACTCTTTTCAAAAGTGAGAACTATCTTTCTTGAGAATATTATATATGTATGTGTTTCTCATAGAACAGTATTGTCAAAATATTGAATTTTTATTTTTGCACTTAGAAAATGAAAATCTGTTGTGCATTTTCCTCACTTTTTTTACTTTCCCCCTTCAGACCTCTGAAAAACATATCAATGATGTTTTAATGTATTGGGCCAATAGAACAAATTTTTACTGGTATCAAAACTGTGGAAAAACAAGTGATAAAGCTGTCATATTGGGCAGACAGTGGCTATCATTTTGGCAACAATTTTGGCAAACCACAGGTACGTTAAGATAGATAATCAGTTATTTTATCTTGATACACTAAAAGCAGTCTGAGCAATCAACTGAGAATCTCTGCTGGGAATCAAACCCACAACCTGACACCCCAAAGATTCATGACAAACGATAGAGGAATTACTCTTAAGGGACCCCATTGACAAGTCAGAAAACAAATTAACATCATGTAGGGTAATGATATTGCAAGAGACACTGATGAAACCATTTACAAATGAACTAACTGTAAATGAATACACTGACCAAATGAATGTATGGGCATAACTTGCAGTTATATTGCCAGCAACAGTCAAGCTGTAACTGTCAATGTAGTCCTTTCTTATAGTAATCTCTCTATCTGGGGCATATTCTTAACACATTGGTGAGAAGTGACAGAAATCTGTCCCGCATCAGCCGTGAATTATTGACTGGTGACAGAAAATTCTGCATACCTGTCAACAGTAAATGGCTTCCTAAAAATTTGCCTTTAGAGAGATACTGAACAAAATTGACAGTACCAAGCCATATATATAAATTCAAAAAGGAAGAAACAGCTTTCTGAAAAAATATTACAGAATACAACCACAGTTTTGAGAGGGAGACTGAAACCACATTTTGGGATTCCTCTTGTGCAATCTTCATAATTTTTATTCAGTTCCTTGCACCAGCTATACTTCAATTTCATCATTCATGTTCTTCTTGGCTTTCCTGCGTGCCAACTCAGCATTTAGTTTTGGACTCTCTGTTCTTGTATGCCAAACGTACACCTGAAAATAAACAAACCTCCTATGACAATTGCAAAATTGGCTGCATCCTAAATTACACAAACAAAGGATCAAAATTGCCTCTCCACAGTTGCAGATTTATCTACCTGACTGCTCCAAGCCAGTTGCAGCTTTCTTAACTTGCTATTATGTAATAGTGATAGAGTACAATTTGTTTTTAGAATTTATTACAAGGCTAATCCATTCTGTTTTAATATTAATAATAATGACGATAACAATAATGTTTAGTTAACTTTGTTACCATTATAAAGCTAATATGATGACTCAATGAAAAATTGACGTTCATTTATAGCAAACATAAATATTTTAATAAGTTTGTAAAAACAAATTCTGTCTTATAAAAAAATCTCAATTTCTGAAAGAGGATTTTCCTCTTTATTATCATTATCATTATTAATTACAAACCAATATACCTGATTGCTTAAATTTTAATTACTACTCGTGATTGTAGTCTCCTTGGCTTCTAACATCACTTCAGCAGTGATATTTTCTCTTTGGAGAATTAAATCTTATTTTACTCTTCAGCACTTTATTACTTTATGTAATTCAGATGTCTTTACAAGCTATTTATGCATTAGAAGGGTGTTTAAATTTCTTATTATATCCAATACAATAAAGCTTCATGCAGTGTATAAAATGGTTCATAATTATATCCAGTGCAATAAAGTGCACTGCCAAAGTCAGTATAATACCATTAATTATATAGAAATAGAAAACATGCCAATGTTTAAAAGGCAATAGAATAATAATAATGATAATAATAATAATTAATAATAATAAACAATGTTTTATATTACATGTAGCTAAAACACTAATATGTTTGTGTTTTATAGGAACAAGATCCTTGGATTCAATTATTTTTTTAGACATTACAGGACATTCTAAATGAAATAGAACCATTTTTATTTTATATATTTTGTTATAATTACTTATTTTATATATGACCACATATTTCTTACGTAGTTTGCTACTTGTAATATATTTTTACATCAAAATGGAATATTTCAGATGTACATGTGAAATATATGTTATTGGAATCAGCATCTTACATGCAATGTAATGCTATTAAGCTCCTGTGACAACCATATTTCGACATGAATTACTACTTTAAACTTACCACTTATTTAATCTTAACCCTCCCTCCTCTCTACTTATTCAAAACCGCATTCTCTTAATCAAGGATGAACAGAGATGTTTTGTGAAGTAGAAGTAATTTCAAACTAGTGCATGCTTGTATTTCAATGAGTCCATTCATAATTTGATCCAAAACTAACCAATGTTTTTCACTGACTTATCAAGTTGTTGGATTTAACTACCCCCTCCCCCCTTCCTGGATTCATCATTGGCTACAGCTACTAGTATTCACTTGAACACGGGCTCTTGGAAATAACATCATATGTAATGCAATCTTATTTAATATTTCCAATAACATTCTTATGCATGTTGAAGACTAGTTCACAAGTACATCGGTAAAACTTTCTTTCAGTAGTGATTCGGAGTGCTGAATTCATGTTAAAATCAGATTGGTGACATTTGTGCTCTTGTACAGAGCAATTTTAAATACTGTAATACATTTTTATTATACATCTTTTCTATTTTTTCTTAAGTTTTTGGAAAAAAATAAATATGTATATAAGTACATATTTTGCTTTTTCCCTTCCCAAGTAATTATGCAATTGCACTACAATGTTCATGAATAATCAACAATCTTGCACATAACTGTTTACTGTACAATCAAATTCACCATGTCCTCTCCATCAAGTCTCTTGTACTGCTAAAACATCCAACTGAAACTGTCATTATTTTATTAGATAATTGAGGTTTCCCATCTTGTCCTTGCATTGTCAACATTGGTTACTATAACTGGCAGATTTTATTATTTGTTTTTTGACAATTAATTTTTTAACAGTTGTTGGCCATTTGATGAACACTTCTTAACCATTCAGGGCAAGGGTTTGTTATTTGAGATTGTCACCCGGGATATGATGAGTAACAAGTACAAAGATGGAATAGTTAGCAAAATGAAGGTTAAGGGAAAAAGGGTTCTAAAGAAACCCACTGAGAATTCTATTTGTACAGCAAAAATACTTCATGAAGTAACACAGATTTGAACTCCAATCCCAGAAATGGGAAAATGGTGAGCTCGCTGCTAGCCTATGATTCATGTTTTAAAATATATAATTGAACAATTAGAAAAGAGGTTGGTTTATATACTTTTTTGTTTTGCAGCCTTTTGCCCAAATACTCTTGTGATTTGTTCTTACCTTTGTACATCTGTCTGCTCTGGGCTCAAGTTTATCCCTTGTGGTCAGTGCTTGCAAAAGATGAGATTCTTGAAAACCGCGATCTGAAGTTAAAGAGAACTTCGCATTGGGCCGTGACAACAGAAGTGGGGCCGAAATAGCAAAGCCAGCCATGTCAATAGGAAAGGGTCTTTCTGGCCGCCACGCTGCATTCCAACCTGTGTGAATGAGATACATAAAACAGGGAACTTACCTCTGCACATTTGTGAAAGAAGCAAAAAAAAAAGTTACACCTTAAATTGTAGACATCACAAAAAAAAAAAACAACAGCAGCAGCAGTATGTTTTTGTAATGCTTACAAATGTTAATAAAAGCAATGCTGCCCAAACTGTTCTGCCATAAGTACATGAGAAGTGTGCAAGTGTTCTGTAACAGTGGAGAGCCTTCACGATATTAGAATTATTCCTTTGGAATTCAATATGTATTGTTATTACAAGTTAATTAATAATATTCCATAATAGAATTATTCTTGGTGAAATGTTGAATTTTTTATTTTTTGATTTCTGATATTAGGATTAGGTAACTTCAAAATCTTTAAGGTTAACCTACTTGAACACTTTTTTTGCTATATAATCTAGAAAAAGTTGGTCATCTAGTTCATACTGAAGCCCCAGCTCATTAAGTCATTTGTGAGTTTGTCAATTCCATTCAATTAATGGAAAATATGCAATTATTACCAATAAGTAATGTTTTGTTTGATAAATTTGGCATGATCATGCAAGACTGACAACTTTTTCATCAGTCAACCTACATGAATTTGAAGATTAGTCTTTACAGAAGTGGCAATTTGGTGTTGTTGGCATTACCTGTTTGGTAAATTACACGAAAATAATTAACACGAATTGTCAACCAACTTCAAGATAATGTGTGATAGTAAATAGCAAAAACACATTAAAATTCCATGTTCTGGTCATCTTAGGTAAGGCTGAAATGTCCTTGGTAAATAATTTGATTAACGATTAATTTATTGATTGATTGGCAATTCCGGGCAAGCCAACTGCTAGGGTTATTAGTCCTGTAAGTGTAGTGGATGTATTAGTATTAGTTCCTTGGGAGGTGGAGGTGATCTTCCCCTACTGTATGGTGAAATCCGGCACCGATCTACTAGTCAGTTAAAGAAATTAAAGATACCAGTATTGAAAATGAGATGGAAAGGAAGTTTCCATAGTCAAGTAAAACAGTTTTGACAAAAACCAATGAATTATAATATAAATAAACAGACAACACAGAGATGGGATTTCAAACTTGGTAAACAGAGGAGTAGAGGAATCATGTTGAATGAAAGTGATTCTGGTTCCAAAGAATAAAAGCATTTTTCATTGCATACAGGCTGTTTGTTTTGACCACTCAGAGATGAGAATAAAGGGAGAGAGAATTTACACCTAGAAGCACAAAAGCATAAGAGTCTGATTTTTATTTGTTTTTAAACCAACCTGTTACACGACCGGTTTTTGGGTTGAGTATTGGTCTCTCAACCAAGAGTCCACCCACTAATCCAACTGGCCACACACTTACTCCCTTTGTCCAGCGCATCTACAACACCACAACATTCGCAGCAACCATCAGCACTAGCAAAAAATGAATTTCTTATAAACTAATGATATATTGAACTTTCAACTACCGTTCCCCTGTTTTTATTTTCCTCTAATCATTTCTTCACAGTTTTAAATGAAAAAAGGGAGAGAATTTGTAGGTAAGCAAAGAATACAATAAATTTTGAACTGTGTTTAATTTTTTAATATTTTTTCATTTAGCAAGTAGATATGGAAATAGCACCAGGAATTAAATACGACTTTATCTTGACAAAATTCGGGATTAAATGGCAAGAGCAAATTTTAGAGCTTTTCCTATTTTTAGGTGATTTGGTAATTGTAAATATCTTCGTGAATAAATGGTAAAATAACGTGTCTGTCCAGCAAAATTTCAAATTACTTTCAAAAAGTGTATCATACTGTCTTAAGCTATATTTCTCCATAAAACGGGAACCTGGTAAAAAAAATAAAGATGTAATTAAATAAGATACAAAATAATAGAACATTAAAATGAAAAAACCAACCCTGGCCAAAAACTCGTTCCCAAGTACTGTTTCAGTAAATTACCTCAATTAAAACTGATCAGACTAAACAAGTAACCTCATTTTATTGTAGTCGAGATTATTTATCAAACCTCAATATTTTTTAAAAATATTTAAAAATCTCCATCAGCAGAACATCTTGCGACTTGAGGATTGCTTGGACCCATTATTATACTTAAAGTGGAACGTTCTGACTTTTGCTGAATAAAGAAAACTTGTGATTTCTGAATAAAGAAAACTTGTGATTTCTGTAGCCCATTAAAATGCTCACTTGTAATGTAGTTTTTTCACTTTAGAACTGGCACCACAGAATTTAATACAATTTTATAGTGACAATTAAAATGTTGAACATACCATGAAATTTTAGTGTTATTACCATCTCATCCAAATTACAAATCTTCACTCCTCTACGCTTTACCTCAATTTTTAACTTCGCAGTACTAACTCGTAACAGTACTGGTCAGTTAACAATAAAAATGACAAAAACCAATATTCAAAACATTTTCTTTTGTTTGTTGTTTCTTTCAAATTCTAGAAACATTTTAAAGTAACTCTCTACCATGAGCAATATACTATTGTGAAATAAGACAGCATGAAATTGGCTGCAAACAATGCTAGGGAAAATAAAATAATGTGAAATTTTAATTTTTGTTGTTGTTGTATTTTTACTGCCCTTAATTTAAAATTATGAAGTAAAGGTATAGTTGAAATGACGCAATTAATGAAACTTTGCAATTTTTATATCTAATTTTGTTTCATTTAATTATTTAAAACATTTTTAATATTGAACTGCATTAATAGTAAAATTCTTTCTCCTGAGTAGTGACATTTTCTGACATTTCCAGTTTCCCAGGTGCATTGCTTTTAATGAGGTTTTGGCATAAACATTGGGAGACAAAGGTGAATGTCTTGAGGCTTAAGAGATCAATGAAGGTGCAAAAGGAAATGAGGGGTAGAGAGTCCTTGTTTCATTCAACTTTAGTTAAGGACATTTTTTTAAAAATGCTTTTCAAATTGGTTGGATTTTGTCTTGCTCTTCCTAATTTAACTTAAAAATTTAAAGCCCACTGAAATGCACAAGTTGGGGTCAGTGACATAAAAGCAAATATGTTGACAAATTATTAACAACATGATTCTCTCAACACTTTTTCATTGTTTTTGTGAAGCAGTAAAGAATGATAGTAGAACATTTTGTAATCTGAATTTCATTGCTAGACTGAAACAACATTACGATCTTGCACATTTGTGTACACACATCAGTCAACCCATCTCCATTCTTTCACGATCCCCTTGTGAAGAACTTCACTATTCGCTAGAGGTTATTGGTGTCCACCCATTCCTCATAAGCTGTTACCAAAAGGTAGACAGCTTTTTTGCAAGAAACACATGTGAGGACTAAGGAAAGATACCCGAGACCCAAATTTTTTTAACTGCTTTATAATAAAAGATTGCAAAAATGCTCTTGCTTAAGGTCAATATACTTAAGCATTGCCATCAACGTTACTGTGGGGGCTGTTGAAACAGTGATTTGTATTCTTTAACATGTAGCATGTAGATTATTTCCTTGCAGAAATGAGAGAAAATATTTTTGAGAGACTCTTTTAGTCAAGACTTATACCTTCCCTGAAGGAATTTAATGCTGCTAATAAATGGTCTCCATCTGAGTCAGTCAGATTCTAGCACTTACTTCATCAAACAGTTCTAGGCTGTAAACATTGTCATCGTCAGCAAAATATATGACAGCTTTATCTTTTGGTTTCAGGTTTTCTCGCAACCACTGCAGTGCACGGTTTCTTTGCAGCACTCCTCGTGGTTTTTTCCAGTTTGGATCCTGCAACATTTAATTTATTACATGATTTCAGAAATAATAATAATAATAATAATAATAATAATAATAATAATAATAATAATAATAATAATAATAAATAGTTGCACGAGATATTTCAGTAAAACATCAAGTACAGAATGAAAAATAAAACAATAAAATTAAATAAAACAATATCAGGAAATTAAAAAGTGGATTCTTTTTATATACAGTCAAAAATTATAAGTTAAAGGTTTATTTACTACAATCCACTGAGGTCAAAATTTCATTTATAATAAATTCTATAATCTTTAATGTGGACATGTTCGATTTCATATTTTCAAAAAATATACATCAGATGGATACATATGTTTTGCAATAAACCAATTTTTCATTATCAAGGATATAACAGAAGTGGATTCTAACTCCACAAGGTGTTAGAGGAAGTAACGATACACATGTGGGATAAAGATTTTTTCAATTTTGCAGTAACAGGGATACATAATATACCTTTTCCTGTCAAAAAAATTGTTGATTTTTGCCACAGCACAATATTTCTCTTTTACTATGAATGCACGTATCATGGCGAGAAAGCAAATGGACTCTGGGATTGCCATATATAAAATATTAGATGAAACACATTTGACATACTGTAATGAAACTTGTTCATTAAAAATGAAATTTTTTTTTTCAATAAACAAGTCAAACATTAAAAAGATCACCCACATTAAAAAGAAAGCAAATGGAAAAAACAAGTTCTAATCTTTCGAATAGGATATCCTGGTGATGCAGAAACGTGTGATCTGATTATCACAATTGCCACAAAGAACCATTCAAAAACAATTGGCAATAAAAGCAAAATCAAAAATTCCCCACCCACCCAATAAAGACGTCCATTACAATTTGCACCTCAATTTGAGTTGATTACAAATATATGTAGATGTACCTTACTCTTGAGTAAGTGTTACTGACATCACTTTGTTTGGCAGTGTGTTCTAATTGTCAGAGATTCAGTTTTTATAAGGGATCTTATGTTTTAATGTATCTTCATTACTCTAAAAAGTTTGAATTACATCTCAATATGGCAAAGAACTCACCTTTTCTCTCAGTTTCCACTCTTTAGGAGTTGGCGCTGTTAGAATTGTGTGTGGTATTCCTGATTTATTAACCAGTTTCCCCACCAAAGCTGATGGTTTACTTGCATCTTCCACTATTATCCAATGCAAAGCTGGTACCAGTCGAAATGTGTGTGATAACCTTCACATAAACAATTAAAACATTAAACATGACAAAACATCTACTTCACTGTACACGTACAAAATTGTTGATTATTAATATCAAATACTTGAACATTAAAATAGACTACCATATTAAATGAAACTTTCACTTCTCTAATACAACTCAACAAATCAATTAAAAAATATAATTTTGAATTAAAAATATCATTGTTGATGCAAGAAGTTGTCATATACCATGAAAGTAAGTTTTCATTAAAGCAAAAAAATATTTTTTATCATAAATCAGTATTACCCATGTATGTTATCACAATCTATACTGTTAGCACTTATTTATGATAATTTGCATTTAAAAATTATTTTGAGTTCTGATAAAATGACTATTTTGACTAGTAATAAAACATGTACTACACAAAAAACATTAAGCAATATTACTCAAAATACACAACATTTCTTTAAGTAAAATTATTAGCATGTGGAAACAACCAACTAATATAAAGCTATTAGAATTTATAATAACCTACAGAACTTAAATGATACCATTGTTTGGATATTTTGAAATTTAGAAGACAAAAACCAGAACATTTCAAAGTGTACTCAAATGAAGATAATATAATCAATCAATTTAACGTCTTTTTCATATTATTTTGCTAAATTTTAAATTACATTTGACTGAAACATTACTTAAAAAAAAAAAAAAAAAAACACACACACACACACACACACCTTTTTATACTTCCCTTTGATGAACAATTTTGGGAGTTTTAGCAAACGTGCAGAAGCAGTTTCTGAAATGAGATAGCTGCTGAATGCTTGCACACATTTGCTGCAAAGGGGTCGCCCATAAATTATGTAACACTAAAGAGGAGGTAGGGGGTTTGAGGCAGCATTACGCTGAGTGACATAGGGATAGGGGGAATTAGTTGTGTTACATAACATTGATATTTATTTTTTTGATGAGATTAGATTGATAAGATTAAATAATTCCTTTTTAAAAAAAATCTTGTTCTCATCATCAAAACATGAAAATGTTTACTAATAAATTTATTTTAAAAACATAAATAAATTAGTTATTACACATATATCGTTACAATATTAATCAAAATATCTTTATAACAATTTTTTATTGAATGTGAAAGATAACTAAGAATAACTATGTTGTATGTTCTAGAATACATTGAAATCACTGCAGTTGAGTCTCACTCGTGCGTTATCCACGACTGCTTGTACACGACTTCTGATCAAACATTTTCTTGCCTATTTTCTCTTCCGTCACTTGCAACTTGCCCCAATCTTATTCTTAGGTACAGTAAGCATTGCCAACTAATTTCTACTGTAATTATCATTAATTTTAATATACAACACAAGTAAATACACATTGTTTTTACAGTGCTATAATTTACTTTCACTTCTTTTGCATTTGCAAGGGAGGGGGAATTGTTATAAGCATTACGAAATTATTTAGGAGGTGGGATTACATGTGCATTACAAGGGGGAGAGGGCGTTATTGAATATACTCCAAGTTTGCTTTACGTAATTTTTTTTACAGCACGAAACCCCAAATCGTACAGCAAAAGGAAGCATTTTATCAGGTCTAAGAGTTCCACATTCATTTACTTACACAAAATAATTCACTCATGTTCCATTTTGCATGGTGAATGTAAGTTATTTACTGAAAATGAAGTAAAGAGAAAACTGGCTTATGGTACAATATGGAAATAGAATAATAAAAGATTATCCACATGATAAATTTCTCCCTCATAGTTCAATACTGTTTGTGGATTCTCCACATTTTTTCTGAGTTAGTTCAATAAAAGTTATGAATTGTAGCAAAACTTGCTAATTTTGTGCAGTTGAACCAAAATTATATTAGGAGCTGATACTCTGAAGAGACATCATTGGTGGGCAAGAAAAGTGACATAGCTTAAAAAATTGTCATTTTGCAGAACAATTTTTTTCTGAGAGGAGGTATTTATTTTACGGACAAATATAAAATGGTTTTCTCTATATACCAGCTCCCATGAACTGCCTTTCAGAAAATGTTACTTGTGAAAATATATTATATTTTACACATTTCTTTCATAAACTAAAAAAAAATAACAAATTTTGAGATGTATGGCTTTCCTTGTTCACCAATGAGATCACTCACAAAATCAATGAACAATGCTGACAGCATTATCTTAATGTAGAAATTAATGATGATTTCAATTAATAGATGTCTTTGTTGTAGCATATATTTCTAATGTAAATTTATAATATAAAAATGTTCAATAATGAACAGAATATGTTTTGTTTATAACATTGGGACACAGTTGAAATGTTACTACTTGCTCTTTATGGAGTTAAAAGGTTCTTTAATGGATATTTAATATATAAAACACACCTTGTGAGTTCTGCCTTTTGAACTGGGCGAGCATATGTGGGAGTGATGGCGTATATGACTGGCAAATCAGACTTTCTAGGAACAGTATCACAATCTCCTAGTAATCGACTGAACTGTCAAAGCAAGAGAGATATAACATTATATTAAGCGATCAGCTAGAATAATGGTTAAGTAACAGCATTTTACTTACATTGAATCTTAGTGTTTCAAGTTCCTTATACAGGCGAGTGGTACCTTAAACAAAGAGTTTTCTATAAACACCCAAAATTAAGGATGACTTCATACATAACCATTCAATGGACATTATACTTACCACGATCTGAAAGAGCTAAAAAGAAAAGCAATGTCAGGAATAAGGCAACAAAGACAATAAATAATTTTCGCTTCATCCCTCGTCTCATATCTTGGTATATGAACGATTCGTCAACACCACTATTTGACAGCATTGCATGTCATGAGAATGACAACATACACCTGCTGTCAGCTACGACAAATGCCATTTAACCCTGACCACGTTGCCGACCCTGACATCAAAATACCAAGAGAAGCGCCATGTTTGTTTACCAACTACTTAATGTAAAAATACCCTCAATTAAAGTGTTAGTGGCATATTTTGTACAATTTTTAGAAGATATAGAAAAATAAATAATGAAGAAATAATTTCAAGAAATATTCTGACGCGAATTTTAAGTTGATGTAATCTTCAGGTTTATTAAGATAATAAATTGACTAGTAACAAACGATAAGCAATATTCGCATTGTACACGTTTTCAACAGCGTTTTCAACTTAATAGAGATGTAAAGATGTTGAGCATTCCCGAGAATACTACAATATTCTTAGAAAATATGTCGGAAATTATTTTCAATTACTCTGGTAAACGTAAACGTCTGTTCATGTAATTAATTTTTAATTCTGGAAAATGGAGTTGACTTACAGAAGCTAAGTTTATTGCTGCAACGGGAAACAAACCACGTATGCATTACATACTCAGGCTAATGATATAATTAAGTCTCATACAAAACACTTTTTCGTAATTAAATGAATATTAATGTTGCCTACTTTATAATGTGCTGTCAATGTAAAGTGTTATGTTGTGATATGTTTTATTCAATAAATTTCTCCTCGAGTAGGCCAATTGATATCGTGAACATTTTTTGGTTAAAATTTAGTATACGGTACACCCTTAGAGAAGCGTGGCGGCGGGGCTTAAGTCCTAATTACTGTACGTGCTCTAATATAAATGAATAAAACTAACGGATAGGCGATTTTCATGGTTCGCCCTTCATATGCTTTGTCCCCGCCACATTGTCACGCCAATTTACTGTCAAAGGCAAGTTTTTCTCGCTTCGCTTGCCCTGATCGAAGTCACGGCGAGGCTCGGGCCTTCGGCCCTCACGTTCACTATAAACATCCTTGAGTCTATCCAACGCATAATTAAAAATTCACTTTTATAAGACCTCACTTTTCAAGAAAGCCTCCAGAATTCTAATTGCCTAGTTAATGCCAGAACGGCGCGAAGTGCCGGTTTAAAGGACTTCCTTAGGTTGTACGGTATACTACATTTCAGCCCATTTTTTAATAACATTTCCCATTCTTTTCTTTTTCACAAAACAAAATATCATTGCTATGAAAATTGAATGAAACTGAATCTGAGTTTTTCATGCAGTTTTATTTTTGCGTTTTACACTTGTGTTTAAATATTTTCAAGCACGTATTAGTTTCGCCAATGTTTATTACAGACTTTTTTTTATTAACTGCAATGTTTGAAGTGTACCTCATTAGCTAAATCTAATTTCGATTTTTTTTCAATGATTGGTGTGTATTTATTGAATTTTGTCGTATCGTTTTCGTCGGTAATTATACCGTTCTTCGATGATTGTATTTTAAAGTTTTGATACATTTTTGATTTCAACTCTTCATAGTACTACTAGGCTACTAATTAGTTAGAAAAAGTATTGAAGTGACGATTTTTCGTCAGAGAAATACTAGACTTGGACATGTGGGCCCCTGATATCGAAACAATGGAATTTTCTTACTCATTATTACTTTCTCGAAAAAATACTAGAGAAATTAGAATCCGTTTGTTGGCCATAGATACTGAAAAACAAAAATATAGTTTTCGGCGTTGACTGTCATCAACACTAGAACTTGACACATCCACAGAATTTTCAGCTAAACTGATATTCTCTGCTCGATCTGGCTGATTTCACAGCCACACGATTTAAAACTGATATTTTAATTTTCGTAGATACTTTATACTTGAAGCTCCAATGACATTAAAAAAAATGTCAATTTTGTTTTTGTGCCCGTCTGTTTGTTATGGTCTCCGCCCGGTTTTTGTGCGATTTTTGCCTGGCTCAGAGCAATTCTCGACTACAAAAATCGCTCAGAAGCGCATTTTTCTTTGCATTTTTTTTTTTTTTGTTTTTTGAAAATTGAGAAGTTAAAGATTTTGTCTGCGTATGCTATAGTACCTACAATATTCAAGATCTAAGGTTTTCTAACTGGGGCAGTTCCTGGTACCGTTTAATTATTCTCCTGAATTTACTGTTTCAAATTTCACATTTCACCCGGCTGTTGCCCGAAGGTTATCCCAAGATCGCCCTGTCATGATAAAAAAGTATGTGTCGGTCTGAAAGGCCGTCCATTCAGATACTCAGTAGCAAAATATTTACGTAAAGTAATTCGTTTGTTTCCTTGGATTGTGAACTCTATTTTTTACTCATAAATAATAATACTTCAGTTTAGATTTAGATTTATTTAGTAAAAAAAAATAATTATGTAACGTATGGGGGAGAAGATTTGCGGACGTTTTCTTGAGTTCCAGAATCTTCTTCCATCATTTTAACTATATAAATTGTTGAAGGATAAGTAAAAGTTAAAGGTAAATAAATTTTAAAAAATTAAAAAAGTCGCGAGATTAGTAATATTTGAAATAAAATAAACTAGAAATTTTCATTCCCGAGTTATAGAAAACTTATTTGCTATGGTAAACGAATTGCAGAACTGATATTTTTTTCTTTGCTAACCAAATAGTAACTCGTCCTTACCTCTACTCCTACCATTACAAGCAAACGGAGAGTTCAACAAAATGTGCTTAAAGTGAAGCTACATTTGCGTCCAGAAGCAAAGCATCTCAGTATTTGAGAGCGTGGGCTTCCACGGCCGGAGTCTGTATTTAATTGGCTGTCCGGGTCGCGGAAGCCTACGGGTCAAAATGCGTCATTTTTATGAATTTTCTACTTTTTCCCTTGTCTGGTCGTTTAGGTAAATATACAGATTGTAGTTGGATCAAAAATAAATAATGAATATACTATTAATAGCAAGTACTACGCATAACCCATTCCTATCGACATTCGTTCCTAAATCTGTCAACAATCAGTAACTTGTTACACCAATAAAGGATACTTAAATAAGGAAACATGTGCGGCTGAATTCTGCAACCTGTATTGCTCTACGCGCCGACTCCGCAGGCCTACTCATCCTATCAGTATCACCCGAATACGTCATGAAGGTAGGCTGGACCCTCCAACAGGTGCTCGCTTACGCCGAGTAGGTAGCCTGCTCCCCCATAAAGATTGCTTGGGCTCGGCAACTCCAAGCCGTGCACTTCTAACAATATGCATTCGGTGGTGTGCAACTAGGCACCCTTCACGATGCGACTTTTCGTTCCAACAATCTCCGTCACGAAATGTAACCGTGAACCTTGTTGGGACTATATTATCATGCATTCCCTTGTTACAGTATCATGGATCAGGTACACTGCAACTGTTCTTTTTTTTTTGTGTATACTCGATTAGGAGATATCTGACAACACTTGAGTCGAGTGGGGCACATTTTACAGTTTTATCCAAATCTGAGCACCGGTTACGGAGGTACAGCTCGAAAATAGAGCCGTTCGGATAAGGCTACCCTCAGTATCGAGGCACATGGATTGCCAACCGTCAAAGTGATATGACAAGGTCTTATCTTGCGTATGTATATGCAAAAACATTAAAATCGCTTCAGCCGTCAATCGTGTTTTCAAACTTCGTTTCTTTCATTTTTGATTTCTCTGCACTTGTAGAGAATGGTGTTTTTTGTTTTTTTGTTGGTTTTTGTTTTGCATAAAAAATAAATAAACCTCATTTTCTGCTGGTTTCGACTCTAGTATTATCTCGCAATCGAGTATACAGAAAGAATGACATTCCCACACATCAAAAGTCATTAACAGTTAATATTATGTAATGTTTAACATAAATATTAAGTATAACATTATAGAATTAGCGTAAGCATGCGTGTCAAGACACATAATAATATTTTTTACACCGATCGTCAAAGTTTGCTGTTCCACTAGCACTCGAAAATGTAATTAATTCAAGATATTCATTCCAATTTATCTTTGAATAATATGGCTGCACATTCGCAAAAAGTTGTTCCTCACTTTAGCAGTTCGCGGCATGTTCGTAGCAATACATAATCCACACAATATTTCAATACATAATCCACATTCATCGGTTTTGTGGGATCAATTTTTGGTCCTGCGGAAGACAGTCATCTGACCTCGTAATTGTAAGGTTTTTGTACTTGCGCTTAGATTAACCGAACTAATAAATGTTCCTAGATTGTTCATTGCCAAAGTTAATGCAATAAAATTTTTCACTTGTATAACTGACATTATATATGACATTTGTATAACTGACTTATAAGTCAAAATATTCTAAAATTATAGAAGGCGGAAGTATATTTACTTATTTGATCGTTTACTGAAGATGGATAACTAATTCTCGTCTTTCATCTATTCCACGGACTTCTTTGCTCTTGAACGAAACGTTGAAGTACACCATTTTATGTTAAAAACTCGTTGCGTTCAGTTCCCTAGTCGTTTATGAAAATTAATACTATGTACAAAAGTACCCTGAATAACACGGGTGAAGTAATACGCCTGGCTTGTAACTTTGAGAGACCCCGCAAGGCGTCAGGCGAACATGAACTATACACCAGGTGAAGCAATTGTAACTTTGAATGTTATAATTTGCTTTTAGAATTTCCAATAATCGTCGTTCCGGGAAGATCTAAATCGAAAGAATAAAAAAACCATTACTTACACCGGATCTGGCGGCCGTCCATTTTAACAGACTGGACTGACATCAGGACAATCATCAGAACAATCATCAGAACACACCCCAATCTCCTTTCCATATGTTTCCACATGCCTATTGCGTCTTTTTGGACAGAATCAGCTGTCGTAATAATAGAGACGAAGTGTTATGACCTACACAAGTGGAAATAAACATGAATTTATGGTCGATAGATACATTAAGATATAACCACTGAAACACAAAACATGTTTATCCATTCTCTGAACGCAGTTCTTGATAACTGCCAACTTAGCGATATATATTTTTTCCGTCAAAGCGGTTTCGAATTTTTACCTCGGGGTAGAACAAAGCAACCACATTTCTCCAAGCCATCGCTCAAGAAAAGTTGCGAGAATATTATAAAGGGATCCTCAGAAAGTGTTGTATCTTATATAAAAAATGAGATTGATATTCATGAAGTGGGAACGATATTTTGCCCAAAGACACAGTATAATAAATAAAAGAATTTTAATATTAAATTTATAGCAATCTTGTTAAATATGTGAAAATGTGAAAAGAGATCTCTCATTCATTTAAATTATACTTTTATTCAAGTAAATGAAATTTTAAGAAAGTCTTGTAAATTGATTAAAATATTGTAATGTAATAAATTGTTTAATTTCATTGAATTTGTTCAATGAAAACATCCAATGGAAATGCCATTTAGGAAAGATTGTGATAATTTTAGTACATGGCGCAAATATTTGACTACGTAATGTAATATTTATAATCAGCGTAATTACTCCACGTTCTATACCTTTAACAGAAGATGCCAGCATTCAAATAAAATTACAGCTGATTGCAGGATGTACTTCCAATTCAATAAATGCAGATATCAGGATTCACAAATCATTACAACTTATTCCAGAGTGTACTATAGTTTAATATTAAACATGTTTCATAATTTTTAGCCCTATATTGCTCACTGCGAATTTCGCTCAATTTCTACAAGCTAAGAATGGATCAATAACTAACATGGCCAAATATTGTCATTATTACAAGGGCTGGTTCTTCCTCGAGTTCGCTCGTTAAAATGCAGAAGGCCATGTTAATTATTGATACATGCATAAGAAATTGAGCGAAAATCGCAGTAAGCAATACAGGACTAAAATTATGAAACCTGTTTAATATTGAAATATAGTAAACTCTGGAATAAGTTGTAATGATATGTGAATCCTGATGTATGCATTTATTGAATTGGAAGTACATTCTGCTGTAATTGTATTTGAGTACTGACATCTTCTGTTGAAGGTATAGAAAATGTTGGAGATATTACGCTGATTATAAATAATACATTACGTATAGTAAAATATTTGTGCCATGTAAAATTATCATCATTTCTGTCTTCTCACGTCAATCTCAATTTTTATATAAGATACAACACTTTCTGGGAATCCCTTGATAATATTCTCGCAACTTTCCTTGAAAGATGGCTTGGACAAATGTGGTTGCTTTGCTCTATGCGAGGTAAAAATTCGAAACCGCTTTCACGGAAAAAATATAAATCGCCATTACGTTCACACGAAAGTTACGGGAAGCATTACTCGTGCAACTTTTCTTGAACGATGGATTGAAGAAATGCGGGTAGAGTGGGGGCATTAGATACGAAATTGGCCACTAGATTTTATAAAGCAATGCCAATCTGGAGAATCAGTCATGCTTTCGCAACGTTCTCAATAATTTGCGTTCTAACTTTCTCAGATGTTCGAGGTATCTCCTGTAATAGGTCTTTACCTGCTTTAGTCAGTTCTTTAGATTTTTGGAGAAAATATCGGATAGAAGTTCTCGTCTTCAAAAGAAAATTGTTTCTATTTCACTCCAGTGGAGATGTTTGGAATGTCACATGTGCGCGCTGCGAGCTTTTGCCTTCATCTGTTTTTGTGCCAAAGAGGGGGAAGCAAGATTATCGTTGAAGAAAAGTTGCGCGAGTAATACTAATTTTTCAAGAAAATTTTATATGATCTTATTTCAGGATTTTATGGTGTTTAAAATACTCATGAGATCTCGCTGAAAATGAGACTGAGCCTTTTTCAACGTCCGTTGCTGTATCTGAGGAATAAATCTGGATCCGTTTTTGAGAATATTTTGGAAAGTTGTAGACATCATGTACAGCACCCCCGAAAATCAATATATTCGTTTCAAACTAGCAGGTCCTTGAGTTCTGCCAGATGAACAGTAGAATATCAATTTTGGTGAACGTCTGAACGTCTACCGTTGCCTACAGACGGACAGACTTTTCCGTCAACCAATTTTTCGGTATCAAATACCCTCAGGTCTTGGATTCAGTCTAAATAACGTGTTAGAGGAAGTAATTTAATACATAGAGGTACAAGATTTATCCACTTTTTTAATATTACGAACCCAGAACTTGCGTTTTCCTTAAGAAAAATTCCCCATTTCCGCTGCTTCATTAAAACCCTCTCTATTTACCACGCAGGCACGTAATGGGCGAGAAAGTAAAAATTTGTTTTGTGTCAAGAACTGCGTTCAGAGAATGGACAGACATATTTTATGTTTCATTGGTTATATTTTTATCTATCGATCATAAATTCATGTTTATTTCCACTTGTGTAGGTCGTAACACTTCGTCTCTAATATTAAGACAGCTGATTCTGTCCAAAAAGACGCAATAGGCATGTGGAAACATATGGAAAGGAGATTGGGGTGTGTTCTGACGATTGTCCTGATGACAATCCAGTCTGTTAAAATGGAGGGCAGCCAGACCCGGAGTGAGTAATGGTTTTTATTCCCTTGATTTAGATATACTCGAAATGACTTATTAAAAATTCTAAAAGCAAATTATTACATTAAAAGTTGGAAGCCAAGCGTATTACTTTAACAATGTTATTTAGTTTTTTTGTACAGAGTTTTAATTTTCATACACGCCTAAATAACTCACACAAGGAATTTTTAACATAAATGGTGTACTTAACGTTCTTACAATGGCAATAGATGAGAGACGAGAATTAGTTATCCATCTTCAGTAAACGATCAAATAAATGAATATACTTCCGCATTTCATAGTTTTATAACATTTTGACGTAGAAGTTAATGTCAGTTATACAAGTGAATAATTTTTATTGCATTAAGTTTGGAGAAAAAAATCTAGGAACATTCATTAGTTCGAATAATTTAAGTGCAAATTAAATAAACTTTCAATTCTGAGATCAGGTGTCTGTCTTCCGCAGGACCAAAAATTGATCTCACAAAACCCATGAATGTGGATTATGTATTGAAATATATTGCGACGTACGTGCCGCAAATTTGGGTAAGTGAGGGACAACGTTTTGCGAATGTGCCGCCATATTTTTCAAAGATAATTGGAAGTGATCATTTTGAATTAATTACATTTTCGATTGCTAGTGGAACTGCAAACTTTGACGGTAGAAAATTACAAAATAATAATAATAATAATAATAATAATAATAATAATAATAATAATAATAATAATAATAATACTGTGACCAGACATGCATGCACACGACACATTGCAAAGCAAACAAAGAATAAAAACTCTAACTTACCTTTATATCTAACAATCTGATTTTGCACACGTCTCAGATACTCTCTTCTTACTGACAGGACCATTAAATATTCAAAATTAGTGAAGAACGAAAAACAAGGCGTTTTAATATCTCCTGGTTTATTACACAAACTTTAACTTATTCCCCCATTTAAGCAATATAAAAAGATGTCACTTATTGACTCATTTTATTCACGCTATATAAGTTTTCGTTATAAGAAAAATGACTAAAAATGTAACAATGTAAGCCTACTAGCCCACAGTTGATCGGTGCCGGATCTCTCGATCAAGTAGGGAAAGATCACCGCCACCTGTCGATCAAAACTATGCACTACACATACCGGACGCATGACCTTAAAAGTTGACAGGCCCGGAATCACTAGTAATGAATCAACGAGTCTCAGATCGAACTCTACGGTATCCAAATCCTTTGGCTTTCTCCATTAATATTTCAGAGGAGCCTAGCCCTTTAATTTTGACAATATTTGAAAATGAAATATTTATAAAAGTGGGAACATTGGAGGTAAATCAAGATTAGGATGGTGGCATTAATAAATTATTACTCAAGTCTATATGTATTTTAAATGCATTTATTCCCCCTCGCGATTTTTTCGATTCCGATGTCGACACCTCACAATTTATATTTTAAGGTTAATGGTCGAATTTAATTAATTTACCAACAATACGGTTAATGTTCACATTATACAATTAGCGGTCTACAACAGCACATTCTCCCAACATCTGTAACTTTTCCAATTAAAAAAAATTGGAATGGTTGACAAAAATTGGTCTCGTGGCATCTTTACAAGTATATTTGCTATATCTGGGGAAAAAATTAAAGAAAAAAATTGAAGCTGTCTTTCAGAAAGTCTTGTCTTTAAAAGTGCCTTCATTATGCCCAAAATGGCGCAAAACGTACTCATTGAACATTGCACGTGAACGTATTTAAAGATTTAATTTTTCCGTTGTCTCATCCGTCTGCCCGTCCGTCTGCCTCTCCGCACGCGATCCTTCTCTCCTTTATCTAGTTCAATCCTGTCCCTTTACACTCGTACACTTACATGCACTGCACTACCGCGCACACGCGCACGCGCACGCGCACACGAGCGCACGCGCACGTGCACACGAGCACACGAGCACGCGCCCACGAGCGCGCCCGCGCGCCCACACGCGCCCACGCGCGCACGCGCCCACGAGCGCGCCCGCGCGCCCACACGCGCCCACGCGCGCACGCGCCCGCCGCGCCACGCGCGCCCACGCGGCGCCCACGCGCGCACATGCGCCGGCGCACGGGCGCGCGCACACCGCGCCACACGCGCAAAACGCTGCGCACGCGCGCACACGCGCACGCGCGCTCACGGCGCACACTCGCTCGCGCACACAGACCGCCGCGCTCCCGCGCACGAGCAGCACGGCGCGCACCTCGCAGCGCACACACACGCGCGCACTCTCGCACACGCGCCGCA